AATAAATCGATTTCAATATTTCGAAAAAGTCATTTATTTAATAATAGTTCAATTTAGATTTTCCATACAATTCCAGACAGCGATAATAAACGATATTTCTCGCTGCCCCTATAAATACCATTGTAATCATAAACTTAATCAACATCTGAAAACACTTTGTTCATTCCAAACAATTATTCAAAAGGGTGTTGTACCACTCTTATGACATTTGATTGCAATGACAAGTGCAACTCTTTAAAACAACAAACATTGAGTAATGTCGCCTGTAAATAAACTACTTTAGGAACGCGTTTCATAAAAATTTCATAAAAATATCCGTTATCTTCATTTCATAACCATGAATATACATTGACAATCCTTAAAATCTTTGGTAAATATTTATTGCAAAAAATAGCAATATTTTTATCTCTTAAAAAGAGAAAATGAATTTCTTGAAATTAGAAATATAGAACAGCTTGTTCAACTTCATGAACCAAAGTGGTAGGTATAAGCTAGCGTCCACTCCTACTAGCATCGGCTTGTGGAAGTTCTTTAAATAGAAAAGTGGCGTAATGTTGAGTTCTGCGTACATCTGTAGATAAGTGCTAAACAGACACATCAGCATTTTTTTGTACTTTGAGACAAAGTTTATATATACAAGATTAACATTTTAACATTTTGTGAATTCTATAAATTCTTACTGTATACAATTGGTCATATAAATGACTATATGATTTAAAATCAATACCAGCATGAACAATAACAATTCTTGGCGCAACTTATTATAAAGTAACTCTGTGTTGTGTTTTATTTGTTTTATTATTCTACTCTGTACATCATTATATCAAGAAAGATTTTGCTATAACTTTCAATGAAGCAAACAGTATCACGCTGAAGACACATTTATCTTATTAAAGGACTTCATGTGTCTAAAAAGAACTTTTTGTGGAAAACACAAATGCAGTATTGTTTTGTTAATGGTATTTAGATGTTTCTGCTTAACAGAAAAAGGTTGTGATGAAACATTTGATATGTTCTCTTGATAGCTTGGTATCTTAAATTGTTGTCATTCTGACTTGATTTATTCCATAAACATTACTCTCCCTGATGAAATTCACTCTCACATCAGGTTAAAACATCCGTCATCAGTCTTATCGTAACTATTAAGAGTCATCGGAGGAAAAATTATGATAAGATAGCGTTTTAAACAATTTTATTTAGGAAATGAAAAAATAAAGATCACAAAACAAGAATGTGTGAATAGTCAATTTAACAAAACGAACTATATTAAAAACGATTGTTACACAACATAAATTAAAAAAATGATAAATATTGAACACCAAAAGGAGTGAAACGATTTTGAGAAAATAATACATGAAATCTGAAAAATTGTATCATAATCGATTTTGTGTGGGCACTTATACATGTATAACATCATTTAGCTGTGTACGTGTTCATCAATGCCAAGCAAATCGAGTTAATATGCAAGTGAGTCTGATTTTATATTAATTCGACATATGCTGAATCAGTTGTTAAATTGAAATTCTTTCCTAATGAATTTGAAATTAAACAATCTATCATATGTTGCAAAACGAATTAAAAACAAAACAAAAAGTTCCTAATTAATCGTTTGTTTCTTTCTAGGCAGGAAGAAAAATATCAATTAGAAGCAGAATAAAGATGAAGAAAATTTTATTTAACTTATACAATTTCATGCATCTTGTTATACATCAGCTAGTAATACATATAAAAAATTTAGACAAAAACAAATATTTAACAATATGTTATGAATTCTAGGCGATTTCATTGTTGTCGAATAAAGTAAAATAATTTTTCTTACAGCTCCCGTACTGAACAATTTGATTAATTCTGATCCTGTATTTCTTTTTAAATATTTGTTTAAAATATATAGTTACGATAAATGAGATAAAATATGGTAAACAAGATCAACATGGAAAAGTGGCGTTCATTGAACGCAACCCCACAAGAACTTTCATACGAAAGACTAAAATCTCCGTTATCATGAAAAGTTGTAATGATTAATTTGATTACGGAAGATAATTTTGGGCATATTTTTTGTTTGTGTCTCATTACGGAAATTAAACTGCTAACACTCATTATGTATTAAAATTTAAGCAAAGTGCAGTATTAGGTAAACGTGCATCATACGCACAAATGTAAACTAAATTTAACAAAATATAGTACCTATAAAACAAAGTACAATATGTTTTTTAAAAGAAAACTTAAAAAAAATATTCAAGTTTTCTTTCTGAATTAATGTTTTCGTCTTAATCAATATTGCGAAATGTTTATGTTTGTTCTCCAACAATTTCTTTCTTTAAATTAAATGATATCAAACACGACCATGCCTATTACGTATTTGTTGATATACTCTTTATATCGTGAAGCCCTTTATGGTCATAACTTAGCATCCAATAACACATTGTTTATATCAAATAATTATTCCCATGGTAGTCTTTAATTAAATGTTAAAGCAAGCACAAATCTATGAAGTGAATGATGACGCATTCAAATGAACCCCGTGAAGTGTGCGTTAAAAAGGAGTTTGTTATCTTTAGATTCCGGGGACAATAAGTATACAGTGTTACACATAAAGTGATGCTATTGTCATCAGTCAAGAGTCAAGGATTGCAAAACTGATTACGAGATAGCGTTTAAAACAACTGTAATTAAGAAACGAAACTGAGAGGTCACAAGGCAAAATGTCTGATGATACTACGTTTCAAAACAAACTGTATTAAGAATGATTGCCACACATCATTGGTTAAGGAAACGGTAGATGTTGATCAACATAAGCAGTAATTCGTTTTTGCAAAAATATCAAAATATGTTTTTAATACTTTAGATTAATAAGTGTATCAATCTTATATTCTATACTTGTGCATACGTTGATGATGTATCAATATGAACAACATAGCCATCCGCAGCAATTTTTAAGAAATCGATTTGAAGCTTCGTCAAGGATAAAACTCGAAGGAAAGTTGATCTTAAGCGGAAGTTGGGTAAATTGTAAATGCAATATTCAAACATTTGCTCAAAAACATAAATGAACTGCCAGTTAATCGCAAAGAATCAATCAACAAATCAATATCTCGTCATCGTTATTAACGTATATTTAAAATCAAAGCTATAACATTATGTCTTTAACATGAAAATAAAGAATTGTTAAAACGTTCAGTCTTGGCACAGATATATAAACATATTTAACTCCATGGTCTTGTGAAAAATCATGTATGAATTTCAAAACTATCTCGCTTAAATCAAATACTACAATCTAACATATTTTAAAGAGAATTAAAATCATAACAAACATTTTATATTTTTTCGTTTACACTATGCACGAGAAGATTTACAATTTCTATGCATTTCATTTCATTGGAAAGTGGTCAAAACCAAATATTATTCCAAATGCACATTTTCTCAAATACATAAAGTAGACACCTTTATTACACAAATTATTTAATCTCTATTTCTCGCTTTCATAAAGCTTTAAATGCGTCCTTGACTTAATATATGTAAGGAAGAAGGCCTAGTATGCTCCTAATGAGAAATTTGATTCGAAACCTCACTTTCAAAGGCCCCTGTGACCTTGACCTTTGACCTGGTGACCTCAAAGTCAAAAGGGGTCATCTACTAATCATGACTAACCTCCATGCCAAATATGAAGACTGTGGGTCAAAGGAATCTTAAGTTATTGGGCGGACAAGCTTTTTAAAGTCAAGGCCCCTGTGACCTTGACCTTTGACCTGGTGACCTCAAAGTCAATAAGGGTCATCTACTAATCATGACTAACCTAAATGCCAAATATGAAGACTATGGGTCAAAGGAATCTTATGTATTGGGCGGACAAGCTTTTTGAAGTCAAGGCCCCTGTGACCTTTGACCTGGTGACCTCAAAATCAAAAGGGGTCATCTACTAATCATGACTAACCTCCATGCCAAATATGACGACTGTAGGTCAAAGGAATCTTAAGTTATTTGGCGGACAAGCTTTTTGAAGTCAAGGCCCTGTGACCTTGACCTTTGACCTGGTGACCTCAAAATCAAAAGGGGTCATCTACTAATCATGACTAACCTCCATGCCAAATATGAAGACTAAGGGTCAAAGGAATCTTAAGTTATTGGGCGGACAAGAAAAAACCGACGGACAGCCGGACGGACGGACAGCCGGACGGCCGGACAAGTTGATTCCAGTATACCCCCCTTACAACTTTGTTGTGCGGGGATATAATTATTTATCGTTTAAGATTTATTTCTTTATAACGTTATACAACGTTCACCTGAATGGCATATATGCATTCGAACATCAACTATATCGAACATCACAATAATGCAGTGTAGTGTTCCGAGGGGTTACACTTTATCCAGATTTTTATACTAAACAGCAGCAGGTGTCTAGTGCTATGTAGCAGCAGTAAAAACTTCACTTTAGTGGTGTTATATTTTTCCAGTACTTCGGGGTCATTTATTCTAGCACTTCAATGTGTTGAAAATTTAGTATCACTCAAGCGAGTGTTAGTTTGGCGTGAGGGATATTGCACTTTATTATTATCCCTCATGTACAGACTCTATCAAACCGTTTCTGCAATTTTCATATAATGTTGTTGTGATAAATGCTTTTAAAGCATATAAAAAGTTTACAAAGGTAGAATGCCTCGTAGGCTCCTTATTTAAAAACTCACTTGCTTGGACAGATAACTCAAAAATTTATAAAGTGGTATTTATAGTTTATAAATTATGGTTTTGATTAATCATGCAAAGTGTGAGATAATTCTTCACTCTAGGTTAAATTTCCCCATTTGACTTCATTATAAATACTCAAATTTCCAATACTAGCATTTTAATACCATCATATTTATATTCGTTTCAAATTAATGTAAAACGTAAAAGTTTTAGCTTAACATAATTACATTATTTATACATACATTTAATCAGACAATAAACTTTTACAATTGAGGAAAATTGTATAAAAGATTACTCAAATACGCGGATAATACATGCATGGAATATGTCAAGTGCCTTAATGTACATTCGTGATTCATAAATATCTAAAAACCGGAAACGAAAAACTTCCTGTTTTAATCATTATTTTTCTTAAGTTAATGCAAAATTGAAATATTCATAGCAAAAGTGTTATAAATGGATATAATTAAATCTTAAATGGTATGTATTTTGTAACAGCAATATTAATTTCATGCTAACATGTGAAATATTAGGTATATTCTAAAATGTTGAATTACTTTTGTAAAAGCAACTTTTATGTAGCCGTTAAATTGTCTTTACGTGGGTCTTTTTTCCGCGCTTACACAGAAACAGTCGAAAATTACAGTTTCTTTTAATTAAACATAAACTAACAAGAAAACGTGATTATTTTTGTGAATATATTTTAAATAAAAATAAAAAAATCACATTCTCTCACGATTCTCAGTATTCTATATTGCATATTCGATTAAAACAAATAAATATCTTCTTTTTTTTATCTACCTCTGTCATTGTTTACTATGTTTCAAACGTTTTAACATTGCTAAAATCTATATTGTTTTTTGCATACTGATAAATGGATAAAGATATTTAAAAATGTACGGATATATACGTCTCAAACAAGAATTAATTGTCACTTTCTTGGAAACCTATGAAAAGTTTGATCACTAATTAATGACATCAATTATTCCATGTTTACTATACTAAAGTAATAATGTATCTATTTACAGACATAGTTTTTCAAGAATTATTGAACAAATGAAAGCAGACAGAATGAAAACGAAGATAGTTGTGCTAATCGTCCTGTTTATACAGTTTGCTAAAGGTAAAACAAAGGTTACACAAATATCTGATAGACAAACACTACCAAACACGTCTTGCAGGATACAACATTATCATGGTTTAAAGCTCATGAACTGCAGTTATCTGAATTTGACATACATACCGAAGACAAAACCAGACATTGAAAGCTTGAATTTTAAATTCAATAATCTAACAAACGTTACTCAGAAGACTTTCTTGAATATAAGTAATCCATTTCGTTTGGTGTGGCTTAATGTCGACAACAACAATATCAGAAATATATCAAAGGGGGCACTTGACATATTTCCAAATTTGGATTTTCTGAGTTTGTCACATAATCCAATTTACTTTGATAACCTTAAGAATCTTTTAGGCTCATTATCTAACTTAACAAAACTGTCTGATTTGTATATCAACGGGATAAGCACTGTAACATTAAATGGAGATCTGTTTTCTTTGCTGGAAAACAATTATATTACAACACTGGTAACTAAGAGTTACAAAATAGAAACAATGGATATGGATATGTTTCAAAATTTTAATCAGCTGCGTACTCTCATAGTAACACACAATCATATTGAAGCAATAACAATGACATTTCCTGGTAATAAATACCTGCAATCGTTGTACATAGAAAACAATAACTTAAGGGCTTTACCAACATTTGCAATCAACGGAAGCGAATCAAACTGCTTTTTCCCCAATCTTGAACATTTATATGCCAAGATAAACTATATTGAAAATGTAAGAATGGAAGATCTGAAGTGCTTATTGCAATTAAAAACCTTAGATTTGAGTAAAAATACTATCACTGTATTACATGCCAACTTTTTATCAAAATTACCAAATATCGAGGAGTTACGGTTAAAGGAATTAGGCACAAAAAGCTTAACAGTGGAACCATTTGCTTTTAATTCAACATTATCAGTACTTCAGTTAGAAGTCAGCGGTTCAGCAAAAAATGTTTTCCAGTCTTTGAATGATACATTCAAATTATTGCCAAAATTAAAGGCGCTCATATTAAGCGAAATATCAATGCTTCTATTATCTGAACTAGAAATGATCAGTCTTTTTAAACCTATTAGTCATTTAGAGTACTTACAGTTGTTTGGCTGTCAAATAGCCTCGGATCCGAAATTTCTTTTGAGTCACTTGAAGCATTTATCACATATAAGTTTTCAGTCTAATTTGATAACTAGTATTAGTGACAAAACATTCAAAGAAAACAAGCATCTCCGTTATATAAGTTTACGATACAACCAACTGGGTCATATTTACGAGTCAGCCTTGCCAAAATCTTTACGTGATATGTTATACGAAATAGACATTAGTGAAAATCCTTTTGTTTGTGATTGTGACCTTGAATGGTTTATCAACTGGGCAAATCAGAGTCATAACAATACAAAATTACAAAGATATCCTCACGAGTATAACTGCTCGGCTCCAACAGAAAGAGCCAAAAAGACATTAGCTGAAATACATTTTACTTACAGAGAATGTCATCCGTTGAGCAAGTGGATTTATTTCGGAATCATTGCTTCGTCTACTTTATTTGTTATTGGTATTATCGCTCTTGTATTCTATAGGAACAGATGGAATATTAAACACTACATATACCTGATGAGAAGGAAACGACATTATGAGCTGATTGATGGAGATAACTTTGTTTATGACGCCTTTGTAGGTTACGAGTCGGAGGACTCGGCCTGGGTACACCATCAATTGTTGCCTGTCCTTGAGGGCGAAGAAGGTTTGAAATTATGTATCCATATAAGAGATTTCCTACCAGGAGTTTTCATAAATGATAATATTGTTACACATATGAACCAGAGTAAAAAAATGATTCTTGTCTTATCAAACGCATTTGCCCAAAGCGGATGGTGTATGTTCGAGTTGAAAATTGCTCATTCTAAGCTGATTGAAGAGGAAACGGAGCTAGTGGTCATATTGTTAGAGAAAATCAATGGAAGAAATATGAATCATTCTTTGAAATGTCTTTTCAATACAACAACGTACATTGAATGGACAGAGGATGGGGTTGGCCAAGAACTGTTTTGGACACAACTTAAAAACATCATGAACAAATAAATGCTAAACAAAATATCTGATTACTAATGAGAGGATAAATACATTATGATATGATATACTTGATCCGGAATGTTATCATGAACTGAAATCCAAAATATTGTAGAACCATGTGTTTTTCTGTGTTTGAACATATACATGAATTATGGTGAAAATATATATTGACAAAATATACAATCTTTATATGCATATTTTATATAATATTACTAATTCAAACTACTTTGTAAAGAAAACAGTTTACTACTCTTTTAATTCAATTACAATAATATAATCGAATCCCTAAAGAACGCCCAAACGGCAAAACTGAAATGTTGAAGGTTCGGTTTGATTGTGCATGTTCATGGCCGCTACTGGAAAGTGCAAGCTACCGTATACGCCCCCAAGCACTGGCTTAAGCAGAACTCAACAATTAAAATATGAAATTAGTGATATTTCAAAATAGATAAATACAGAATCCCTAAAGAAAGCCCAACACGGCAAAATTGAAAATGTTGCAGGCTCAGTTTGATTGAGCCTGTTCATGGACGGTACTGGAAAGTGCAAATTACCGTCCACGCCCCCTAGCACCGGCTTAAGCAGAATTCAACATTTAAACGTGAAATAGTAAAATTTTGAATTTAGAAACATCCGCAGATGTGTTCATACGGCGGTTATCATGGAACCTTCAATGTGACACTTCCGTGCCATTCCATGAAAAGCGGCGTATGGTCCCCAAGTAATAAAAAGCGTGTGCCCTAAACGAGAAAACAATGGTTATAAACATCTGCAGATGTGTTCATAAGCATGGGTAGTTATATTCAACTGTAAGCCTATTTAAATTGGTCTCTTTATTAATCCGAAGCAATATATGCAAATACTGATATATTTGCGCTTATTTTAAAATCGAAATGAAATCATATACTTGTAGTTTGAGAATATAATTAACTGTTTAGGTAACGTATAGTTCACACGGGCTTAATGTCCATCTTTACTTTGTTATTTGTATTTTTAATTTTGTAAATACAGTCATGTCTTTTTATAATAGATAATGTTCTAACTGACTTATTGTTATTTGTATCTATATGTTTGTAATCTTATGTCACTATAATAAAGCTTTTATTTACTGACCTATTGACTTATTTTATGTGTATCAATATGATTCTTCACTCATGTCACTATATAATAGTCCTCATTATAGCGAACTCGGATACAGAGTACACTTGGTTATAAGGAACACTTCTGCTTGGTCCCGATTTTTCTTTTTATTTATCTTATATTAAAACCTTTGTTGGCGGTTTACAGCGAACTCGCTTATAGCGTTTACTTGATTACAAATAAAGATTTGGCTTACCGATGTACAGACGAACAGACACACTCATTCACTCAGACACTCATTTCGCTGAAAGAATTAAAACACTTTTTCAAACTTCCTTCTTACTGCCTTTTAGTTCAAATGAAGTTAATACAAATCTATTTCAATGGTAAAGAGTGTTTGTTAAATTCTCGAGTAAAAGGTCTTAAGTTGCGGCTCATTTAATACATCAACGTGTTGTTGACATAACTGATTTAAATTAAAGTTTGTGTTACCGTTTGAAACAGAGTATGAAAAATGGATACATCACACCAGTATCTGTCTCGCCCCACTGAATTTTACGAGTTTAAAAAGTAAAATGTTTGTGTACTTGAAAATCTAAAGAAATCTTGAAACCAAAAACAATAAGTATATTCCCAACGCAATGTAAGGACATAAAAATTGTTCAAATTTGGTTGTCAAATAATGTTAACGTGTAATTTATATTACACGGACGATTTGACGAAAGATAGTAAGAAATATATGGACAGAAAAACGTTTATTTAAAGCCCTTTTAAGCCTGAAAATGAACAATTGAAAAAAAAACCAGAAAAAACAGTCTTTTTGCATTTTGACAATTGGTACAGTTATAGTTATTAAACATGTACTGCTTTGCTTACATTATGCTACCTTTATCACATGTTATTTCATATTCAGCGTTATTTTCATCAGGTGAATCATCTCACATGTTCTAAATCTATTATAGCAACATTACATAATACTTGTCTGCCCTTCCTATCGAAAAAACATCCTCGATAACCCAGGCTATTTACCGTATACCACTAACGGTAAATACCCTGGGCAAACTGACTGAAAAAGTTCGTACTTATGAATTATTCATAAGTATAATTTCGGCCGTTTAGTTAGTTTCTTTCTCAATCCATGAAGCGCATCGTCCAATGAAATAATACCTTTCGTATCAGCCTAGTCAGCATGTTCAATGTGGCCTCGTTGAAGTTTGAATCGAGAAACAATTATAAGCATCTCAAAAAATGCATGGAATCGCCGTTCAGCCATGAATATAGAAATGATATTTCATTTTTTGCCTTATACCTTAATCGTATGTTATCAACAGATAAAGCCAACAAAAGTTCTTGATTTACGCTACCATTTAGTCCTAGTCAAAATATTTTGATGTGCTAAGCTAGATTCTGAGATATTTTTTGTTCTGGGTCAGAATCTGGGAGATATAAGTACCACAATGACTAAACACGTAGTACAATTGTTTTGACTACCTACGCTACTTAATTAGTGCATCAATTGGCAAAAAATAATTAGCTACTTGCATAATTGACAACAGTTACTTGCTACATATTAAAAATGATGTCTGTGAAAGTTTTAATTAATGCATTCTATAAATAGATTTTACGTACTAAACTCCGAAGACTGCGTTGCCGGAGATATAGATAACATCATCCCTTGTTGAAGTTTTTTGAGGTTCCTTTTGTTATAATTCGACATTAAATTATTCACGTTGATTGGCTGAAGGCAGGCGGTGTACAGGTAGAACTGTTCAAATCTTGTTAATTGTATATATCGCTGTTTTAAGGAAAATATTTCTATACGTCCGTTCTTTCACCGGCCCAAAGCACATTCTTGCAGCGTCATTTGTGGAGGTTGCCATTTTAGTTGACATTATGCGAACTGTTTTTTGCGGAGAATATATTATTAACGTCGATTTCATTGGGCCAAAATTAATTGATGAAAATTCATGTTTTATTCCCGTCACGGAACTTTGCTAGCCTATTTACCCACGGTATTAAATGTAGTATGTACGGAATGTGTACCATGGGTTCTGAGGATGACAGAAAAAATATTCAAAAGAATATTAGGTGCCTTTTGTTTTTATTTTAGAATTAACATTTTGGTAAGCAAAAATATAGCGAAATAATTAGTTTCTTAAAGTTTTTATCGTTGTTTGATTAAACGTTATTAAACGCAACCATGTCATCGAGAAGGAAATTATGAAAGTGTGTATTTACTTTTTATACCACAAATCCCTTTATGGTCATAACTCCACATCCAATAATACATTGTTTATAACAATCATTCCCATAACACTCTTCAATTTAACAACATTTAATTGCAAGAGCTAGTACGAATCAATAAAATAGCAATTGATGCATTTAAATAAACTTCGTATGTGACCCTTTTAAGAGCATTGCGTTATCTTTATTTTGCGAGCCAATTGTAAACAGTGTAACCCGTAAATTTATGACGTAATTACTTAATTAATGCCATTTCCGTTCTACATTTTTATTACAATTGTACTGTATCTAAAATATTTCATTTTGAAAAGTAACACATTGAATTTAATACAACCGCAGTAGTTTATCCTTGAAGCTTTTTTCCGTAGATTAAAGTAAATACCTTTGTTAGGTCCAATTTAATCTTTGTACTATTGATACAAATACTAATGTCCATTTATTTATTTCGCAAAAAAAATGTATTACCATGGAATGTTTACAGTGAAGATGACCATTTACATTTAAGCATCTTTAAGAGCATTCTTATTAGAAGAAACTGATTTTAATTCAGGGTTAAAATGACTTGATTATCAGCAACAAGTATGATTGACGAATAGGAAAGGTAAAAGTTACAAATCTTGGTATTACTAACATAAAAAAATAAACTGCAATGGAGCCGTTGACTATTTGAGAAGTAAATACTTCAATATTCGTTATAAACAATTGAATATGATGTATCGTCCAAAACCCACGGTTGATTTATATGCAACATAAAATGTAATCAATGTTAATGGTTCGGCCTTTGGTATCCGACGATGATCAATGTTGATAGTTTTGCCTTTGGTATCGCGATGATTAAAGCAGACCAAAATGGCAGTTGCATTGCAATTGAATTTCTTTATACATGTATATCAACATAACTTCAACCAATGCGAATTAATGTTATGACAATAAATAACACAAATGAAATTAAAAAGTGAAGATGAAATACAGACAAATAAGATAAAACAATACACTCTATTTGAGCCGCGTCACGAAAAAACCAACATAATGGGTTTGCGACCAGCATGGATCCAGACCAGCCTGCGCATCCGCGCAATCTGATCAGGATCCATGCTGTTCGCTTACAGACCCTATAACAAATAAAGAAACTGACAGCGAACAGCATGGATCCTGATCAGACTGCGCGGATGCGCAGGCTGGTCTGGATCCATGCTGGTCGCAAACCCATTATGTTGTTTTTGTCATGACACGGCTCATTTATATCATGCTAGTACTTTTCCCTCTCCTTATCCATGGAGTTTATACAAATAGATTGTCGTAGAATTTCTTTTTTTAAATGTCATGTTTACCAATATCGATACTTTACACAAAGACTAGTTAGCAGAAGACATGTAATGAAATATGTATCCTGGTTACGTTTTATTTTGGTAAGCAACTGTACAATTATCCATATTTTGAAATACTTTCGTTTATTTTAATTAATGTTTTCTTATCTAAATAACTAATCAAAAATCTTCAAATTATCACAATGATATTACAAAAAATAAAGATGAAATAAAGAAAATTATAAAACATGTAGGACACGTACAAGATACTTTTCACCTCATTATCTACGAAGGTTATTTCAAATGCCATGTTCACTTTAAGTTGATAAGATTTAATTAACACAATATACTTCAGTACATGTACTTAATAGCATGATATATACATATATTTGGAATATGTCTTCTGCTTTATGTTATTGTTTGTTTTTGGTGTTATTGTTGTTGTTGTGTTGTTGTTGTTGTTGTTTTTTGTTACGTGTACAATCGCCAATCTTCAGATATGATTTGGTTTTTCGATAAATGCCTTCTTATTTAAATAAATTATATTATCTTTAAAATGATGATAACATAGTGGATTATAATGTTAAATTAGTTACAAAAATAACCCGTTATTTAGTATTATAACGCAGACAGAAAGCTATTAAATTAATAAATATCGTCGTAATGAGTTTAAGTAACATTTACCCTTCCTAACTGAAAAAGTGTGCTGGGTGTGTGATGTTAGAATGCATTTTACTTACGATGAAGTAGTTTAAGTAGCAACAAGTAACAAGTAAATCAAACTTTTGCTTATATAATTTTGCGTGGAGTTATTCACTTACGGTCGTGCCGCTGTATGTTACGGAATTCCATAAACGACAGCCTACTGTTTACTGTCAACTGCCTACTGTCAACTGCTTATTGTGAACTGCCTACTGTCAACTGCTAACTTTCAACTGCTTAATGCTTACAGCGAATGTTTAATGCTTACTGTTCATTGATAAATGCCAACTGTTACACCTGTCAAATATCCGATTTTTTGCCTGAAAGTAAATGTTGGCTTTTTACGTACTTCTTCCAATGTGTTTATATGTTACAATGAGGCCGTTTGAAACAGTATTGGTCAAGGAGTTACACTGTATCATTTATGAAGACTTTGACTGAAACCTTGGGACTCGTTACATTGATACATGTACATGTATAATTCTTGTTTTACTAAGCAGAAATATGAGTATATATATCTTTGCAGGCATCTGGAACTTTTCCAAATCATAGACCTGTAAACTTTATAAAACTGTTATCAAACCAAATATGACAAGTTTTTTTCTGTCATTAAATCTTGTTCGGTAATTTTGAGCTACCAAATATAACTGCTTGCTTAATAATCTATACATGTATATCCCTGTTCAAGCTTGTAAAAGACAGTCATTTAGATACAATCTACCACATAACATGTATATTACTAGTATAATATTTGTTCATTAAATGATGTTGACCCTACCA